GACCAAAAGATCTTAGTTTCATGTATGCATAAACAGGAAACATTTGCGAAACTTTCACTTGTTAACGACTATAAAAATTTGAGCATTAGCGCAACTAGACCCATGGCCTTTCGGATGAGAAGTCAACTCATCTAAAGACTGCTATTTGTTAAGACTAACACCTTTTATTCAAGAGTAATTATAAGGCACATAGAAATGGAAACACTGGTATGAGTAACTTGGAGTCACTGCAGCATGACTTTTCAACGCCTGACAGACAAATCTTAAATGTGATGTGAAGCTTTACCGTCTAAAAAGTGAGAAGCATCCTTAGAAAGCAAATAATTGTGCAATAAAACATGGGATTTTGCAATCACAAACTAAGTTTTGCAAACTTAATTCCAGTAGCTTTCCGCTTACATTAGAGTAAACTTTAGACTTCACGAAAGCGCTACTAATCACCTTCGTTCTGTGGAATCTGAGGCTCTCTAGAGGTTGTTGCATGTTCTACAGTAGAAGTTTCATCAGTAGACTGATTTTGTGGTTGCTCTGCCTCCTCTTCTTTTTTTTCATCCTCAGATATCACTTCTTCTGGGCCTTGCTCCGCTTCAGTCTGGCGCAAAATCACCGTCGGTGAAAGTCGGATCATGCGGGTTCCGTCCACAGGCACCTGCAAGTGTTGTTGGCGGTGGTGGGATGGGGTGGAAGAGGGAGTGATGGATGGACGACTGTCTTTGCCACTAACTGCAGGCGGTGGCGAAGGTGAGGGTAAAGGACTCTCGAGGAGGTGCTGCAGCAGGTTTTTGGGACTCTCAATAGGTGGTGTTGTGGTAGCACTGCGCAGGTCCACGGGATGTGCTCCGGGAGGTAATTGGTCGGCTACAGCTGCCTCTGCCGAAGCGCGGAGATTTTCCGAACTCAAATGGCCATTCCTTTTAATAAGAGAGCTAGGTTTAGGATGTTAAATGGTCCAGGATGAGCCTTCTATTCAGTCGATAAACGGTGGTAATGCAAAGGAAAAGACCTGCATACGATAACTATCAAAGATACTCACTATCGGCACGGGATTTAATTTAGACTTGGTGAGTCATCTGCTAGTTAAATCGAGAAGCAATGGCTTGTAACAACTCCAGTATTTATGGAGAAAAGCCAACTCAGCTAAACCGGTTAATTTGCGGTCACTTTCTCGACATTTTCAAGCTGGAGAAAATGGTATTGAAACAACTCATTCCTGTATCTTGAAGAGACGTCGAAAGGATAGGTTTCAAAGTCACAATCAGGTTCATTTTTTTCATGGCCTATGCAAAGGAACAAATTCAGCCATCGAGAGTTTTGCCATGTCAATAGCCTTCAAAATGGAGCCCTACTTCTACCGATACCGGTTTAATGC